ACCCTGATTTGTATTTTTATAGGCGGCTATTTGGCTCTAAGGGTCATGTCCGCCTGCGAAAATATATACAAAACGTCGGCGAAAATGCTTTTTCTAGTAGTGTGCCACACTAGAAACCGTGACATCCGACATAGCTTGCATGGTGATGCATGTATGACTATACGTTAAATAAAATTTTAAATGGATTTTTCTTCTAAATTGAGATTATACCATTATACTCCTTGTAATTAAAATTTTCCAACAAGATCTCACACGATATATTTTGACAAGAGAAATCGAATGTTGTTTCACCAATTATAGAAAATTATTTCACTTCTTGGTCAAATGTTTTAGTTAGTTCTATAAAATGTTTCAGAGAAGTGAAACTTTCAAAATATAATGACAGCAACACTAACAACTACTTATATGAAACAATGAATCCAAATGAGTGTGAGACATTAAATAAACATATGAAAGGATACAATATGTTTGTAATACTTGATATTATAACATTTTATATCATGTATAAAATATTAAGTCGTAGCTCATGAAACATTATAAAATATTTACTGAAACATTTTAAGGATTCTACGTGCAAGATTTTTTAATTAACTAGTTAAACATCATGCATATACTTGTTGAAACATTTAAATTTAAATAAAGCCAGGTATAACATTTGGGAGAATCCAAAAAGCTAAATATATTTTTCATCGGAATATAACTATGTGTGGTCTTGCTGTAAAGATTTAATTACAGCGAATTTAATGATGTAATTAAATAATTGATTGGAGGAGTAATTTACGAGAAAAATTATTTTAAATTAAGATAAAGAGATAAATGTGCATGGGTGAGTAAGTGCCACTGGTACTATACACATGTACTGTTGTGAGTAAAAGTCGTTTAAAGATAAATAGATAAATGTGCATGGGTGGAAAAAGTGCTGCTAGTCCTATGCATGTATGGCAGTGAGTAAGAGAATATTATTATGACATGAAATAGAGGTTGGATGATCCAATAGTTTACAGGAGGCGGTGCGTTCTCCATAAAGCTTGGGATTTCTCACCCCTATTTTTCTCACTTGTTTCAGGGCGCTACGTCGACATCCTGACACTTAGTGCTAGCTAGTTAATATTGGTTGTGTTTAGTTCCTTCTAAAGTTGAAAGTTTGGGTTGAAATTAGTACGATGTGACTGAAAAGTTGTGTGTGTATGACAGATTGATGTGATAGAGAAAGTTAGAAGTTTGGATCCAAACACAACCATTGGTGTACATCGTATGGAATAGTACTATACGTTTTTCAAAGTCTTTACGTAGAAAACATTGAAGAAAATAACGAGGCTGTCGATCGTCTGTTATCAAATATCCTCACGGAGCTAGCGGACGCGGACGTTCCGACTTTTAACGAGAAATTAACGTTGCGGTCCGTGTCCGCATCCACGTATCATCCAATTGAATCCAAGAAGTTCACTAGGATTGTAGTTACCTGATGATAGATCGATCAGTCCGGGGCACATGCAACCCGGGTCAAATGCCGATTTCAATATTGATGGCGCGCGTTTGTATCTTAATTTTCTCCTGCGTGCAGCAGCTAGCGACCAGGAAAAGTTGTGTCACTCTCGGGAGTATCTTCTGGGTCTCGAGCATGTGTCTAGATAGGCCAGGTCTCTGGTCGGCTCAGCTATTTCTGATGAGACGTAGAAAAAAAATTAAAAAAAAAGACCTATATTTTGTTATAGGTAAAATTTAAAAGCTAAGGTTGTAAAATAGTCAAAGATTTAAAAAAACAAAGAAAAAAAGATAACTTTATACTATGTTTTAAAATTTTAATTTTAATTGTGGTTGATCAGTTAAAAAACAAATAATGGAAGTTTTAATTTCATCAAGAGAAATAATGAAAGTTTGAATCAAACCATGGCTGGTCAAGAAATTAACAAGACCTATTAGATACCAATGTTTTTAGTTAATTGGATACATGCCATTATACAGCACTGGAGAAACCATCTTTTACAGGTTGGGCACAAACCACAATAGTCCCAGTTCAACCAAAAACCAAGACTTGAAATCATTTTTAGTCCCAGTTTATAAGTGCGATAGGACTATATATATATATATATATATGATCTTTAGTCTCGGTTCCCTTTGTGTCAGACATTGGCAGGGCACCTGGGATCTTTAGTCCTGAGATCCTAACTATAGCCCGGTTGATGTTACCAACTGGGACTAAAACGCCCTATATAATCCCTAGGACTTATCCTCTCCTCCCGTATCTATATTTTCTCTATCTCCTTAGATAGTGCCTCCCTCTCTCTGCTTTAGATAGCGCGCTTTCTCTCTCCCCTTTCACACAGCGCACCCGAGCGGGAGCATGCCGGCGGCGGGCGGGAGCGATCAGATGGGCGGTCGGTGGCGGCGGGGCGGCAGGTGGGCGGGCGTCTGAGGAGGTGGCGGGCAGCGGCGGCGGCCTCCCCTCCGCCGGATCCAGTGGGAGGGGAGGCAGCGCGACGGATGTTTTTCTTTTTTTTTCCTTTTTTCCTCTCTTAATTTGTGGATGATTTTTTTTAGTATATATATGTTGTTGTGGATGATTTGGGATTGTGGATGATGATTTTGTTCTTGTGAATGATTTGGGATGTCGGGAGATGATCTGTGGATGAGTTTGCTGAAAAACCAAGTGCAAATAGCAAAAAGCAATGATCCACAAGCAAATAAAAAAAAGAAAAAAATCTCTACTCTTGGTTGGTGTTACCAACCGGTATTAAAGATTACTATCTGTAGTCCCGGTTGGTGTTACCAATCAGGACTAAAGATGTATCTCTACTCCCGTGTATTTAAACCCGGACTAAAGATCGCCATTTTTAGTCCTGGATTCTCTCTCTTTGTTTGTAACCCGGGACTACAGGGGATTGCAAACCGGGAGAGATGAGAGTTTCTCTAGTAGTGATATTTTTTTAACGGTTTCAGAATATATCTTTTGAACTACTAACAAATTGCCTATGGTTTACTATGGGTGAAATGTCTATACTTATTTGAATATATGTTATTCACTTGATTCAAACAAATATTAGATTATTGTCTAATATCAGAAAATATCAAAGGTCAATTTATAAAATGTATAAAAGTAGTGGTAGTGGACTGGTGCACCGGTGGCAAAACCGCCCGAAGCAGCAGGTGGCAGTAAAAAACTGGCACTGTTCCCCTTTTTGGCACGCTGCAGGCTTGCTGCGTCGACCTATTCGCCTCTTCCCACCTTGAAGCACCCATATCACGACCACCAGCACGAGGAGTGCAACCAACCCTAGGTCCTAATCCCAAACGACTTGTTTGACAAGAGAAGGGAAGGATATTCGGAGTTTGAAAGAGAGTTGGTAGAGGGATTGGGGATAGGAGTTTTATTTTTACTCCATGTCCCTTGTTTGGTTGTAGAGATGAGAGGTGGAGGGAACAAAGAATGAGTGCATGTACTACTTGGAAAAATGAATTTTCTGGATCACGAAAAAATCACATTAGCTCTGGTTTGAATAAGAACTAGGATTAAAAATATCTTTAGTCCCGGTTTAAAAACCCATGGTACTTTTTTAATCTTACCAACCGGAACTAAATATTATTTTCAATCCCGGTTCAAAACATGTCAGATCCCCACTATCTTTAGTCTATTACCAACAGGAACTAAATATCCATCTTTAATCCCGGTTGTTTATACCAACTGGGACCCAAACTAAAAAAAATGCCGAAAATCCAACCGAATCCCACGCCCTCGTCCTTTTCCCCTCCTCTCTCCTCCACCCCCTCTCATCCTCCCCTCCTTCTCCACCTCATCCCCATCTCCTCCCCCTCCCCCTCCCCCTCCTCCGAAGATGGCGACAGCGAGTGGCGGCCCAGCGGAAGCCACGGCGGTGGCGGCGGCGTCGGCACACAAGGTTGCGGGCGGCGGCCGGGCGGCCTCCCGCCACTAGATTCGGTAGGAAGGGAGGCCGGGCGGTGGTGACCAGCAGGATTTTGTCAATTGTTTTAAGATGTTTGGAATGATTTGTAAATTTTCTTGTAGTTTATTTTAGATTTGTGAATGATTTTGTGAATGACTTGTGGATTGTGGATGATTTTGTGGATGGGCATGTGAATTGTGGATGATTTGTTGTGCATGATTTGTGGGGATTTGTGGATGAAAATAAATGCAAGTAGCAAAAAAAATGAAAAAAAACTAACCAACCGAGATAAAATGCCGTGGTCCCGGTTGGTGGTTAAGACTAAAGATTTATTTTTACTCCCGGTTATTTTAACAAAGACTAAAGATAAACATTTTTAGTCCCGGATTAGGCGTCCTGATTTACAACCCGAAAATAAAAGGGTTTATAAACCGGGACTAAATGGTAGGAAGACTAATTCGTGCGGTGGAGTTGGCGACGGTGTTGGTTTGTACGGGGAGCGCACGAATACGGCCTGTGGTGGCTACTGTACAATTCGAAAATACGTAGTTGCGCGCCTTTAATTTCCACCTACCCAAAGCTTGCAGACGGAGGGGAGCTAGGTGCCTGTGCATGGGATTATTAATCAATCTAGCTTAGATCATCCATGATTTGTTACCTACCTAGCTCCTAATTAAATTAGCTGTGGTAGAAAATCTCATATGGTTTTAGTTCTTATAAAAAAAATTAAAGTGCTCCTCGATTGAAAACCTTTAAGGGCGCACATTTTAAATTTTACTATTTCAAATTTAAATTCTCAAAAATCATTAGAAATTTCACTCAGAATTTACTTCCGTACCACGTCGAAACTTGCCAATCTCCAAGTTATCAATTGAATTAAAAACTACCAGTGTGCAACAGGCACCACAAAAGGGTCATCAGAGCGACCATTAGTTTGTTGTCTCCGTCTGGATATTTCTAACCTTGATAAGAATAACTAAACCCTCTAGATTGATTGGACCGACTAGCGACGACGTCGACAAATTTGATAAATAAATTAAGCAAATTTTTTTGCTCCCCCAGTCCCAGATCGACGTCGATCGTAGTACTAGCGAAAGTATAAATAACGCGTAATCCTTTGCACATAGAAGGGGCATCCAAACTAGCAACTTAATTAGGCACCTAATTAACTCCGACGATCGATCGATAATTAAGAATATGGAGGACAACAAGCTGATACTGGCTCTAGGCCTATCAGTGCTGTTCGTCCTCCTCTCCAAGCTGGTATCATCTGCCATGAAACCAAGGCTCAACCTTCCCCCGGGGCCATGGACGCTGCCGCTGATCGGCAGCCTCCACCACCTCGTGATGAAGAGCCCCCAGATCCACCGCTCGCTGCGCGCGCTGTCGGAGAAGCACGGCCCCATCATGCAGCTGTGGATGGGCGAGGTCCCCGCGGTGATCGTGTCGTCGCCGGCGGTGGCGGAGGAGGTCCTGAAGCACCAGGACCTCAGGTTCGCCGACCGCCACCTCACCGCCACCATCGAGGAGGTCTCCTTCGGCGGCCGCGACGTCACCTTCGCGCCCTACAGCGAGCGGTGGCGCCACCTCCGCAAGATCTGCATGCAGGAGCTGCTCACCGCCGCCCGGGTGAGGTCGTTCCAGGGCGTCCGAGAGCGCGAGGTGGCGCGGCTCGTGCGTGAGCTGGCCGCCGACGCGGGCGCGGGCGGCGACGCTGGCGTGAACCTCAACGAGAGGATCAGCAAGCTCGCCAACGACATCGTGATGGTGAGCTCCGTCGGCGGCCGGTGCAGCCACCGCGACGAGTTCCTGGACGCGCTCGAGGTCGCCAAGAAGCAGATCACGTGGCTCAGCGTCGCCGACCTGTTCCCGTCGTCCAAGCTCGCGCGGATGGTGGCGGTGGCGCCACGCAAGGGCCTCGCCAGCCGCAAGAGGATGGAGCTCGTCATAAGACGGATCATCCAAGAACGGAAGGACCAGCTGATGGACGACAGCGCCGCCGGCGCCGGCGAGGCTGCGGCGGGGAAAGACTGCTTCCTCGACGTCCTGCTTCGGCTGCAGAAGGAAGGTGGCACGCCGGTCCCAGTTACCGACGAAATCATAGTCGTGCTTCTGTTTGTAAGTGTCACACTCACACTACTGTCACTACATACATACTCCCTTTATCCCTAAATAAATTAAACCCTAGTCCAAGGAGCTTTTAAGAATAGAAACAAAAGACCAACATGCCCTTAACTAATGTGAATGTGGTATTAAATGATGGGTAGGTGAGGGGTATTGAAGTAATAAAATTTCTCGTTTTGCGGATTAGTGGTAGGTAAAAATGTAGAAGTTGGTTTATTTAGGAACAAATTTGAAATCTAGAAGTTGATTTATTTTAGGACGGAGGGAGTACCTATTACTCTTTTATATGGCAGAAGGCCAGAAGCGCACTTTTTTTTTCTGACTTTTACTAGTCTTCTAATCTTAAACAACATATATACTACAACTGTATATAGCATACGTTTTTTATATATACTACTCCCTCCATTTCATATTATAAGACTTAATTTCTAGCATTATCCACATTTATATAGATGTTAATACTAGAAAGTCTTATAATATGAAACGGATGAAGTAGTTAAAATGCTTATACATTGCAACGAAATTTTGCAAGGAGATATCATCATATAGTTTGTTATACCATTTCCTATTGTTTTAATCATGGGATAATACTTACATTAGTCGAAAGTTAAGAGATTTGCTTAACATAAATTTTATAAAATCATTTTTTCAATTGTCTAATCAAAAAATGTCATATTTGCATTAGTCATATTTTTCAGTGGTTAGCTTTGACCTATAGTTCACTAGTCCTATTGTTTGTGGCCCCATATGGCAAATGGTGGTTGGTTGCTGGGAGAACCACCACGACTACTAGACTACTAGTATAGATTTGAAACTAATTCAATTTTAATCATTCATGCGGTTTACATTGGCTATTTTCTTTGCTTTTAAAACCTTTTTAGTATGTTTTGGACATGTTAACGTACTAATACTATTAATGTGATACTAATTAATTGAACTGAATATAGATTTATAGTTGATTACAAATTTAAAATGGTAGGACCCGAACAGTTGTATGCAAAGTGTGTAAAATCAAAAACATAATTTCACATTCCAACGGAATGATATTTATATTTTGTCTTATTGGCAGCTCTCCACTCTCCTAGTGTGCCTTCCCTCATCCACTTTATCCTGAAACTATTTGGTTCCCTCATGTTATATTAAACGATTTGGTTGTTCCATTCTGCTTAGGCATAATTTGGTTGATGATTTTTTTATTTGGAAATTGACTATATGCAAATGCTATTTCTAGGACATGTTTACAGGGGCTAGCGAGACATCCCCAACAGTATTGATTTGGATCTTGGCTGAACTCATGCGGTGTCCAAGAGTAATGGCGAAGGCACAAGCTGAGGTACGACAAGCTGCTGTTGGGAAGACTAGGATCACAGAGAATGATATTGTTGGGCTGAGCTACCTCAAGATGGTGATCAAGGAGGCCTTGCGACTCCATTCCCCGGCTCCCTTGCTGAACCCTCGTAAATGTCGTGAGACAACCCAAGTCATGGGCTATGATATACCAAAAGGCACATCTGTGTTTGTGAATATGTGGGCGATATGTAGGGACCCTAATTACTGGGAGGATCCCGAAGAGTTTAAGCCAGAGAGGTTTGAAAATAATTGTGTAGATTTTAAGGGTAATAACTTTGAATTCCTTCCATTTGGCTCCGGACGTAGAATTTGTCCGGGTATAAACCTTGGGCTAGCCAACTTGGAGCTAGCATTAGCTAGTCTTCTCTACCATTTTGACTGGAAGCTACCCAATGGAATGTTGCCCAAGGACCTTGATATGCAGGAGACCCCCGGAATAGTTGCAGCTAAACTAACTACTCTAAATATGTGCCCTGTTACTCAGATTGCTCCAAGCAGCGCAGAAGATGCATCATAAGAGATAATACGTCCTCCAAGACAGCACATATAGTAGTTTAACTACATAGAAAATAAGGTGTTGTGAAAAAAAAGGGTTTATATATATGTACCCTATGTATTCTCAAGTTGCTTTGCCAGGCAGACTGGCCTATTTGTGTAGCTATTCTCGTTACATGGTATATGTGATGTCATTTGAAAAGTGTAATGCTATTGTTACCACTTCCATAAAAACAATTTTCTGCAGACATCCCCGGTTTAATCTCTTCATGGGGTTATAAAATAACCACTTGTGTTTTGTGATAGTGGTGAGGGAGTCATGTGACTCATGTGGCCAAACCACTTATGAAAATTGCATTAATTCTCACATGAAAGTACCTTAAGAGAACAGTATGCACAAATAGAACCGTCTCTTGGAAAATGTGAACACTCCGATTTCATGAAAGAAATCATAACTTCTTCATTGGATGATAGATTGGAAAAAATTATAATTAAGCCCTCGGCAAGATCTACAACTGAAAGTTTTCTCATTTGAGATATGTTCAGGGGCCCAAGTATGTTCATTGGTATATTTGTCTAAAAAGGATCAAAATAATAAATTATTGCATCGCTATTAGCTATGAGTGTGAGGTGGGGTGGCACGGAGCTTGAAAGTTTTCTTGAAAACCAGACTAGTGATTTCATGCGAAAATTATGCGTACTTGTGGCTTGTGACTGCGCATGCATGTGCTGCCTAGGTAGGGTATTGGGGATTTTTTTTTTTACGTAAAAAAGAATGATATTTAGGAATAATGTGTCAAAATTCATTTTTACTGCATGTGTGAATTGAAGATCTCCACATGCGGGTGGCTAAAGGCACACTATGAAAATTCTATTAGTGTGTTCTATTTATACTTTTGTGATCACTTTGTTTTAAATTTTTAACTCTGAGGTGTTATGATTTGCTGGAAAACCTATCGATACTTCCAATGTGCGACTTATCCTAGCACACAAGAACATTGGGTCTACACGAGCCCAAACCAAAATACGCAAACTGGTTGAACTAGAACACAATTATGGGTTAACGTTGGGATATTACGTACACCACTACAAAACACCTCATAGGTATCGACTCATAGGTGCCGGTTCTTGCACCTATGGTCTTTTTCCCCACCTCCCTGATGAAAAAATCGAAAAGGCGTTTTTAAGCACTATAGGTGCCGATTTTTGAAATAAAACCGGTACATACTATAGGTGCCGTTTTTTAAAAGAACTGGCACCTATAATATATTATAGGTATCGATTTTTTAAAAACCAATATCCTTAAAAACCACCTAAAAGTGTCAATTAGGCCTAGAGGGGGTGAATAGGCTAATTAAAAAAAATCAATTAAAAGCGGAAGCAGTAATTTTCGGATATATCCGAAAATTTTCGGAGTCAGCACAAATAGTAAAGTAAATCCTCGATCTAGTTGCCTACAACAAGAATATGCTAGTACAAACAGCAACTAGACCTATAGCAGCTCAAATAAGCAAAGCTAGTGGAGAGGGAGGAAGTAAAGTCACCAAAGATGAAGCTCACGAAATTGTTCCCGAAGTTCGAATCCTTGAGGGGATTCTACTCTCCGTTGAGGAGCTCACTAAGAGCCGGGTCTTAGCTAATCCTTTCCTCAAGAGATTGCACTAAGCACTCCTTCTTCCACTAAGGGTATCTCTTCCCTTTCGGAGGTGAGATCCGACCTTCACAAACTTCTCCCGGCCAACCACAAGTAGATCGGTGGCTCGGGAGCGACACCTAGCCGCCTAAGAGTCCTCAACCTACAAGAGTAACAAATGAAGCAAAGAACTCCCGGAGATGATGCAAGTGCTCACAAATCTTCACGAAGTCAACAACAAGCACTCACACAAACTCGAATCCACAACTCTCACACACCCACCAAATCCAAATCGAACACGGGTGAGAGGGGAAACAAGAAAGCAAGGCTCAAAAGTGAATCTCAACAAGAGCAAGCCAAGGGCACAAGAATATCCAATGTGACCAGCAGCCCTCACAAGTGAGGGGAGGGGGCTATTTATAGCCACAGCCCAAATTCTGCCCGTTGTGCACAATGATTGTGATTTTCGGATATTCCGAAAGATTTTCGGACATGTCCGAAAATTCCAGCTCAGCACCAACAACAAAGTCAACGAGAGATTTTTTGGACATTCCGAAAACTTTTCGGACAAGTCCGAAAATTTCCAGAACCAAAAACACCCTTCTGGACATTTTCGGAAAGTCCGAAAATTCCTTTTGGAAAACTCCGAAAATTTACAGAAGCGAAAACGACTCTATTGATGTTTTTCGGAAAATCTGAAAATTAGTTTCGGACAAGTCCAAAAATATCCAGAACCATGTTTGCCTTCTCAGTCATTTTCAGAAAGTCCGAAAATGCCTTTCGGACATATCCGAAAATTTCCAGAAGCGAAAATTAGTTTTGTGTATTTTCGGAAAGTCCAAAAATGACTTTCGAAAAACTCCGAAAAATTCCAGAACACATCAAACTGAGAAGAAACACTTTTAAAAAATGATTTTGAGCACTTTGATCACTCCTCATATGTCAATGCATCATCCCTATTAATAGTGCGGCATTCCTATTGACTCAAGGAAAAGAAAAAGGTACAAAATACCATTTGCTCCTTTGCCGCATCACATCACATCAACGTATTTGGCGGGATATGCATTACGCTAACTCATTGAGGACATAACAACCTTCACATTTGCTTAAATAAAAATGTTAGTCCTCTCTAATCGCATTGTAATTAATCACCAAAATCATTAGGGGCCTAGATGCACTTTTACCGCCGCAACGCACGTACTGCTCCAAGCCAAGCGCTTTTCCTCCCTTATCCTCACAATCGCTCCCACCTTATCCTCAACTCCTAGCTCCGTTGCTCGCACATCGCTCCCCATCGCCGCATTACACACATTGCCGCCGCTCCAGCCCCACCCGCGCCTGGCCACCGCTTTCTCTCCACCTCGTCCTCCATCATTCTCCGCCGCCTCTCCTCCTCCCTCTCTGCGCACCAGCCACCCTTCCCCTCCTCTGCCTCCTCTCCCCGGTGGCGCCCTCTCCTCCTCGCTACCTCTGAGCTCTCTCTCCCCAACCGCACCAGATCCGGCCTCCTAAGTAATCGCAGGAAGCGAACGCACGTTCAAACCTCGGTCCAATCGAACAACGAGCAGGTTTGTGTCCAATTTGTGTTTGTTTTCATTGACTTGTTCATCATTTGTATGCCTCAATTAATGGGTTGAGAAGCAGATGGAAGGATGGAGCGGATCACTGCAGTGCATGGGGAGATTGGGGATGAGGAGCGGCGAGGATGGATGGGCCAGAGAGCGCAGTGCGCAGACCGGGGGAGGACGTCAGCGGTGAGGTGATGTAGGGGAGATTCCACTTCTTGTTCTACCAGCAGCTAAGTTGAGTAGCCGGATCCAGGTTTTGTTGGAAGAACACTGGAACAGCCAACAAATTTTTGTTTTTCTTTTCTTTTTGACATGAAAACAGTAGTAGAGGCTCCTACTGTGATATATATTATAATATAATAAAAAGAGAGAGAGGAGTATTTACAACAGGGGGGAAGAAAATCCAAAAAGAAGAGCAGTTTACAGCGGATTATCTACCCATGATTGCCAAAGATGCTTGTAACGCTCCGCTTTTCGTGAGTCGTTAAAAATTAATTCGGCAAAATCCTAATTGCGAAAATTTTCGTTCTTTGTGTGCGAGTCTAAATTGTGCCAAGATCTCAATTCAAATCCGTCCTTGATCCCTCTCGTCACCATCAAAAATTGCCCCCTCGAAATTCCTCTTCCGACTCAAGTCTCCAAATCAAACTCTGAAATTCTATCCCTCTCTTTGAATCATCGCCAAATACTTCCCCAGATCCAAAATATCCAAAACCCCGTCTTGAATCCTCCGTCTACTCCTTCCTCTCATCGAGATCCCAATTCCAAAATCTAAGTCAAATTCCAAGTTCAAATTCTCTTCGAATCAAACTCCTCCAAAAAAGTCTATTTTGCCTCCCTCGGATTTTCGTGGGCCGTTTTCTCCTCGGCCCATCTCCTCTCAGCCGCTCCTCCTCCTCCCCCTCGCACGTGCGTTGCGCGTGCGCCGCGCTTGAGAGAGGGAGCGCCCACTCTCTTCTCATCCTCGTTCTCTCTCTCTCCGTTTCTCCCTCTCTCCCGTAGAAGCTCCCCCACCGGCGCCGATTTCCCGCCGCCGCCGTTCGAAATCCGGCCGCGCCCTCGCATCCGCGCGCGCGCGCTCGTGCGTGGCCGACCGCCCGGTTGCCACCGCGTCAGCCCTGACGCCGCCTGTCCCCGCGCCTGCGCCGCGCAGCCGCCCGGCCCCGCTCGCCTTTAGCCGTCATCGCCGCTGTCATCGCTCGGCCCCGATGCCTCCATGCCGCATCCTTCCAAAACCAAGAGACAGAGCTCGTGCTCCTCTCCGTCGTTCTCTCTCCCTCCTTCCTCCTTCCTCCCAAAGTGGCAAGGGAGCCAAGCTCCTTTCTCCCTCCCCTTTTTGCTTTTTCCCCGATCGGCGTCACGCCCGTGACCGCCTCTACCGCCGCTTGGCCGCTAGCTCCGAGCACGACCGCCAGCTGCCGCCTTGACCGCCCTAAGGTCGGTTTGAACCGACCTCCCGCGCGAACCGACCTCGTCTCCACTATAAAGCCGAGTCCCTCCTCTCAAATCCCTCCCACTTCAGTCTCCACCGCTGCAGTGCCATCGCCGCCTTGCTGTCGCCGTCCTCGCCTTCCTCCGCCCTCGCGTGTGCCGGGAAGCCGGCGTGCGCGCGGAGCCGAAGAGGGCTCCGGCCACCCTTCTTCTTCCCCTTCCCCGGCCCGACGACGGGGAACTCGCTTCCGCGCCGTTGGCTGCTCGTCACCGCGCCGTCTCGGCTCGGTAGTGCCTCCCTCCGTTCTCCCTTCTCGCTTGCCCTCTCCCTCCTTTAGCTCGTGCGGTAGCTCGGTAGTCCTCCCGAACGCGCGTAGACAAAGCCCCTAGCCTCGCCACCACCCGCCATAGGCTTGCCACCATCGCCGCTCGCTCCCGGAGGCCGCCGCTCGTCGCCAGATCTCCACGGCGTCGCTCTGCCCCATCCGACGCCGGAGATGAACTCTTTGAACCCCGGAGATACTCCCACCACCTTGAATTTAATCCTTGTCGCCCCTCCGCCGTTTCCCCTTTTTCTCGCCGCCAGCGTGCGTCGCCGCAATCCGCCGCCTCCGGCCTCTTTCCGGCGAATCCAAGCCGTCGGCTCGCTTCCTCTCGTCCCTTCCCTCCTCCCCGGTGAGCTCCCTTTTTCCACTGAGGTCGTGCCTTGCTCCGGTGAACTCGGCCGCCGTCCGCCGTTCATTCCCGGCCTCCCCTTCTTCCTCCTCCCGTTGGCCCGCGTGGCAGCCACGTCGGAGCCACGTCGGCTGCGACCGGGTCAGCCGCCTCCTCCCTTCCCCACCTTCGCGCGCACGGTCCATGGTGCGCCAACCGGCTGCATGTGGGCCCGCTGCCATCCGATCCACCCGGCGCACCGCCCGCACACCGCACCCACCAAACCCTAGCACCGCACCCGCGTGCGCTCTCCCCACCGTGAACCTTGCCGCCGACATGTGGGCCCCACCCGGGACCCCGCGAGGTGCACCCGGTCCACCGGACCGCTCCCTCCCCTTCCGTGCGCCCTAATGGGCCGCCTTTCCCGCGACCGCGCCGGCCCAAATGGCTTGGCCGAGCCTCCTTCGACCCTTGGGCCGCGCCCTTGCCGCCCGAAAAAGTCTAATATACATCCCTCCATCCTTTTCTTTTTAGGGATTTAATAAATCCTCTTACCTTTGTCCCATAAATCAATTCCTTCTTCCAAAATTCCATAAACCATTTCCTTTGGTCCCACATGACAGTGACTGTCAATAATATTCTTGAGAATATTATTTCTGTAAAATTCCATAAACCATTTCTCCTATTCCAGAAACTCCAATTAAACTTCCAAAATTCATATCACCCGATTCGCAACTCCGATTGACTCCGTTCAACTTCCAGTAATTCCGTAAAATTGAGATCTATTTAATGGCACTACTAATTAGTCTAAATAGGATCTTTCTTTTGGTCTTTTGCTTAGGTTTTCAGTTGTTTGCGTATAGTTGCGGTTACCGGATTTTCGTCGATCGCGGGTTTTCTTGAAGATTCGTGAAGCTTCGTGAAGACTTTGAGCAAGGCAAGTCACCCTTTGATCAATTGCCCCTATAATTGAAAAGTCATTATTATTTTGTTTGCAACTTGCATTATTAGAATCACACACTTAACTTGCTTGGCCTCGGTTTGCGTGCCAAACCGACGGACCTACCCAGTAGTCGCACTAATTTCCGTAGGTCGTACTACCCTGATTCCTTGTTGCTCCACCCTTGTGGTACCTCGGTATTCGTGCTCTCTGAGCGCGTATACCAAATATCCCACATACACCGTTGCTTGTCGAAAACTTGGGAAATGGGTTTGTGAAGCCTTCAAAACCTGACATGTGGTGTCGGTGTGTTTGAAAATAAAATGAATTGTGAAAACTCGCGATGCGGGGGTTGTGCCTATGTGGCACTGTCCCGTATTCGCATATAAGGACCGATTCCTGTGGGAAACTCATCGAACATAATCAAAGTGCAACCACAAGGTGGAATGGGACACCCTGGCTAAGTAGCTAGTCGGTTCAGGGAAACCTCGCATGCCAATAGTTGGGAACGCCGGGGCGGGGTCGGTTGGAGCCAAACCGGGTTCCTGGTAATGCAAGAACGAGAAGCTTGCTGAATTACCGATCGAGGTGGTTGGAGTTTGTCACGCCCAGAAATTTAGCCCAAATTTCCAGACTATTTTGTGTATTAAATCCCTGTCCAGGACCAGCCAGGGTACAGAAAACGACAAGTAATAAACAGTTCCAAATGTAAATAAAGCGTAAAATACTTACAGAAGAGGCACTTAGTCCTCACACCGAAACAAAAGCAGCAGCAGCGGAAAAAGGCGATCCTAGCGGGGCTTCAGCTCCACTCCACAGGCAAAACTCAACTGGGGTCTGAGCCTTGGTCTTCTAACTTCGTCTTCAACTCAGAAGCACTACACTTCTGAAAAGGGGGAATAATAGCAAGGCTGAGTACAACCACCGTACTCAGCAAGCCACACCAACGATGCGGACGTGCAAGGGGATACAAGGAGGGGTTTGTGGCTATTTGCATAAAGGCGGTTGTAAAACATTTTATTTAGCAAACAGTAAAACTGTTGAATAATTAAAGTAACATTAAAATCTCCACTGATCAACGCTACACCACGTTGAACAGGCCCAACCAACCCACCTGTACTACAGTGCATTGGGTCGATTTATTAAGAGAGACTAATCACGGTGAATCTGGTCGATCGCCCATAACCGCGGGCACGGCTATTCGAATAGTTTTACTCTGGCCAGAGGTGCACAACTGTACCCACAAGACACAACCCACCGACATGTCACCGCGTCATCATATGCCCATGATGCACACGTCACCATGTCGAGTGATTGTGACGAGACCCTTCGCATAACCCTCCCCTAACCATCCACACCACGCTAAGGTTTCACCCCCACCCCTCAAAAGGCAGTGGGCGGTCCCCTCTTGCGCCGCGGTGAATCCGGCAGCTGGACAACCGGACACCCCGGCCGACCCAACTCCATCACGCCCACCCTCGCCACCGGTGCCTAGGAAAGGGTCGAGCTATACTTCAGATCAAGCAGTTACCCATTCCCGCTTGTGGCAAGCGCTGTAAGTCTTCCAGGGTTTCCCGTGAACCGGTCCTTAATTGCCATGGGTGCGACTCACAAAACCATGCACCCACAGCCCACCATTCAGTCGCATTTTAGTTGGATAATTACGACCATGAAACATGGCCAGATGTCTCGAGCACGCAGCTCAACAAGATACTAGAATGTCTAATTCTGCAATTATCCCATCGACTGAGCTAGTGGTAATTAAGCATGGCTAAGCATATAGTTCTAGCTAGGTCACATAAGTAACATGAGCTAGTCGATTCATTACCCAAGGTTGACAAAGGACAGATATCAAGTAAACATGGCACAAGCGAGCAGATAGGTAATACCCGGATCCCATGTAATTAGCAAAACATGCATATTTATTTGTAAACGGTAAAACATTTATAAATTGGGATCAACATGCTCAAGGGGAATGTGTGACTTGCCTTGCTTCTTCACTTGGATCTTCCGAACTCTTTTCCTCGCGACCGCGGACTTCCGAAACGACGGAAACTACACGCTGGCACGCAAAACGAGGAAAAACTCTAATAAAAACCAAGAAAACAGTACATAAAAACTAAACAGACATGTAGAGCTCAATTTTAGATGAATTTTGCAAGTTGAATGGCTCAATTCGGAGTTCGAATGAATTAGATATGAATTTTAGAAGTTTTGAGCCATTTAAATGGATTTCTATAATTATTCACGAATTATTGCGCAATTATTATTTATTTTCTCAAAGGAAAAGGCTGTGCTGACGTCATCAAAGGGGAGGGGCGGCGCCGGCAAGCGGGCCCCACCAGTCAGCGGCACAAGGGCGCCGGTCCACCGTGGACCGGGACCACCGAGGCGGTCCACCGCCGGTCCACGGGAACCGACGGCCCGGATCGGCCCGAAGCCGATCGGACGGCCACGAGGCGGCGCGGCTGGGGCACGGGCACGGCATGAAGCCGGCTCGGCCGAGACATGGCGCGGCGGCGGCAAGGGGGAGGCGGCAACCGGCTGCAGCAGCCGGCGACGTGGAACGGCGGCGGGCGGCCGGAGGACAGCGGCGCGCACGGGGACGGCGACGCACCCCAAGAGGCGGCGGTCGGCAAGAAAGGGGGACGGGAAAAAAAAGGAAGGGAGGAGAGATCCTCACCGGAAGCGGCGGCCGACGCGGAGGAAGAGGACGGCGACGACGATTGCCCAATGGCGGCTTGCGAGGACGGAGGGCGGACGGGGTCGCCCTTGACCTTCCGAAGGAGAAGAGGGAGTTAGGGAGAGGAGGACCGATGCGGGGTGACTGGAAACGAAGGCCGATGGTGATGACAAGAGGTAGAGCTCACCGGCGACCGAGGAAGGAGGAGCTCTGGCGGATTTCCGGCGAAGAGGGGCGGCGGCCGAGGTCCTCCTCGTCCTTGCGGACCTGAGGGAGGTAACGGCGCGAGTCGACGTCGACCGAAGCGGCGGCGCGACGCGGCTGGAGTCGGCGGCGGCGGCGGAGAGAGGTGGTTCGCGTGGCTATGGCGCTACGGAGGTGGAGAGGGGAAATGGAGCGGTGGCCGAGTTTGCCCGGGCGGCGGCAAAGCTGGCGGTGGCGGCGGAGCAGTGCGGCGGCCACCCTAGCGACGGGAAACGGCGGCCGGATTTCGCCGGAGTGCGGCGGTGCAAGTGCTCGGCGCGGGGAGAGCGAGGGAGGGCGCGGCGGCTTGGGGAAAATGGGGGAAAAGGATGAGGGGAGCCCGGGGATCGTTTTTATAGCCTCGAGAGTCGACGGGGAGGCCGGTTGGCGACGGATTTGAAGGGGGAAAGGGGTGCCGGCGACGTGGGTGAGTGGGGGCAGTTTGGCGCCGGTTTTGGAGGGGAGAAGTGGGGGAAATGGTGGAGGAAGGGGATGACGTGGGGTGGACCGCGCCCACACGCGCGCGGGAATCGGAAGACGCGCGGGGAGGGGCGGCGACGTGGGCGGCTCGGGCGGCCATGGCAGTTGCCGGCCGGGGCTGGAGGTTGGGGATGACAGGTGGGGCCCACGGGTCCCACCTGTCGGCCTGAGTGAGAGGAGAGGCCGGGAGGGAGGAAAAGCAGACTTGCGCCAAAAGGGGAGGCAAGCCGGGCCGCGGGAGGGGAAGGAAAGAGGATTTTGGGCCGAGCCCGAAAGGGAGGAAGGGGAAGTTTATTTTGTTTTCTTTTTATTTAAATTGGTTTAATGAACTTTGTGACTTTAAAATTATTTCTTGAACTCCGAAAATTCACGGAAAAATCCGGAGAGTATTTTAGGGCACAAAGAATATTGCAAAATATTCCCGGCCAATGATTTTTAAGGGAAAATTTTAATTCTCCCATTATTTCACTTGATTAAATTGATTTAACTTTTATTTAATTTCTAGAAAATGCATTATTTAATGATTTTTAAAACCCGAACGAAAATCGGGGCGTTACAGAGTTTGATTTGGTGAACGCCTAAAATGGCCTATGTTTATGTGAGGATTTGATCCTTCTATATGGCATGAGGTATCCCTGGGTCGGCTTGGGAAAGGCTTTGTCGCGAACCTCTGACACCGGCCAGTGTCTGGAGTAAGTTCGTGTCTTGTGGGTAAAGTGTACCCCTCTGCAGAGGTTAACTAACTGTTCGAACAGCCGTGCCCACGGTCATGGGCGGATGTGATGTGGTTCCCCTTGCGTAGATTTGTTTGCCTGCGCTTTGTGAAAAGTTGTTGTGGTGTGGGAATCGTAACCAGAATCAGCCTATGTGGCAGATGGATGACCTGAGTGGTCAGAAACGAATCTGTGTGATTCGGGATGTCTGCGGGCATCATAGACTAGGCTTCCCGAGTGGAAGCGGTTTGTTGTGCTGCTGGGCAGCTGGACTCTGGGAGTCCGAGAAAATGAAAAAGGCTCTGGGAGCCGATTAATCAAGTGAAATGGCTCTGGAAGCCGAGAAGTAATGATCTGACCCGGGAGGTCGGTACATTACTAATTGAGCTGTTGAAAAACATCTCTTAAAGTCGAATCGAGACGCAAGTCTCTTTTCGCCCCAAACTTAGAAAGAAATAAATCACTTAGTGATTTCAAAATGTCTTCAAATAAAAGATTTGCAAAACAACCTTGCCTCTCTTCCAAGCTTGCATTAAACACCTAAATTCCCGTGACTTGCTGAGTACGAAAGTACTCACCCTTGCTCTATATAAATATATATATATAGTTCCTCCGCCCGAAGAGAAGATAAAGTGAAGTGAAGATTAGGGTTTCGTCCTGGTTCCCAGCCGTCGCCTGTGGTGTTGGGCGTTAGTTCGTTGGTTCCGCTGCTGCTGCTGTTGTTGGTGTTTCCTCGTCCGTGTCGTCGGTTGCATTCTCGGGTTGTTCTGAGCTGCAACCTAAGTTAAGGTAAATAAGTCCTCTATCTATTTTAAGGATTTGCAATGATTCATATTTGTCACCGTGGGTACCAGCACTATGTCCTGGGACTGGTACCGAGATCGCGGTTTCGTAGGAAGCGGTTCACGCCGTTTTCCCTACGACACGCTCCTGTCAGGTGCCGTTGTACGGCGGTATCAGATTGGGGTGTGACAGGAGATGGTATCAGAGCATTAGTTGGCCCTAGGATCGAAACCCCTGAATAGGATGGCATTATTTGAGTACAAAAATATTTGTGAAAGTTAAGGTGTCGTGGTCCCCTTTAGCTCTAGTTTTGCGAAAAATCTTTTGTGTCCAAAAGTAGAAGCTAGTCGAGTGTTTTGACCTTTATCCTAGAGTAAACCTGTCTTCACGCCCAGTTGAAGAAAGGTGAGCTCAAGCCTCTAGGAGTCTTAGTTAAGCCCTCGTTGGTAGGCAGACCCTAGTACCGTCACCCGCTCGGTAGGAGTTGTGGTGAACTAGTGCGTGTGTGAGTTTTGTTTGGTAGTCCGTGTTCAGGTGTTAGACCAGTTGGGTTACCGGCTGGAACACACCACCTATGTCTTCTGTGATTTCGAAAACCGTTTTGATGTAGTGTTTTTGTTTTTTCTCCTTTCCTTGTCCCATTTCTGGTTCAGTTAGATCTCAGCCGCTTTGAAGCAGATGGCTCGTCGTTCTACCCGTCAGACCCGTGCTCCCAATCGCTTTGGTGTTGAAGAAGAGCTAGTTCAGTCAGAAATCCCCGATCAACCAGTTAACCGGACAGATGAGCAAGAAGCCGAGAGTGATCATACGGTTACTTCCGGATCAGTTAATGATGTCGCAAGAGGTAATCAACCCCCACCCGTGGACCTTCACCAAATCCTGGCCATGCAAACACATATAATACAAGGAATGGTTCAGAATATAATTGCTATGCAACAACAACACACACAAGAGCGTCAACCCCATATGGTTCAAGATGATGACCAATCAAAACTGAATGATTTCCTGGGATCTCGTCCACCGGAGTTCTCCCAAACAAATGAGCCCATTGAAGCTGATGATTGGATTAAAGATGTGGAAAGGAAATTAAATCTGGTACAGTGTACTCCACAAGAGAAAACCCTTTACGCCGCACATCAGTTGAGAGGACCTGCCGCAGATTGGTGGGATAACTACTGTGCTACCCATACAGATGCTAGTACCATCGTCTGGACAGAGTTTGCAGAAGCCTTTCGCTCAGCACATATCCCAGAAAGCATAATTGATTTGAAGAAGGAAGAATTTGCAAATATCAAGCAAGGATCCTCTTGCATCAACGAGTATTTGAGTCGCTTTAATAGATTGGCCCGATATGCCCCAGAAGATGTAGACACTGATAAAAAGAAGATCAGAAGATTTTTAAAAGGAATGGATGCGAAACTGCGAGTGAAACTTTTGGCTCACGACTTTCCGACGTTTCAGCAAATGGTCGATAAGTCCTTGTTACTAGAAGATGCAGAACAAGAGATGCAAGAGTACAAGAGACGCAGAGTAATGTCCCTAGAGATTCGAGCAAAAGAAGGTTTGTGTCGAAAAACCAACTCGCCAGCACAATACTATCAGAAAGCATCTCAGCATTCAAATGGTTCCGGTTCTACGTCTCGTTCGACTATGTCAGAACCTGGTCAGCAAGCCACAATGATCAACAGTAATAGCCATGAAGGAAGCAATTCCGCACCATGCCCTACACCTTCAAAAGACGTGGTCATAAGGCAGGAGTCGAATGTTTCATCTGCCATGAGATGGGACACTATTCGTGGGATTGCCCTCAGAAAGCCAAGATAAAGTGCCTTCACAAAGTCAAGACAAAGCCAGTCCAACCAACGACAATTCTTCCCAACATACCTGGATCAAAAGGTTCGAAGTCACCAAACAGTGGCTCAGCCTCGTTGACCTCACCGCCTGTTGGACAAAGTCGTCTGAACCATGTGCCAGTAGAAACAAAGGGAAAAGTTTTGAATCTCGAGCAAGTGGAAAGAGCAGGTGAAGAACAGCTTCCACGTGTAAGATCAGAGCCACAGCAAAAGGGAGACTGCTAAGTGAGTCAGAGTACCAGACCGTTTTGTGGCAAGTATGCATTCTCGAGATAAAGAAAGACCAGCAGAGTATGAAGCTAAGAAGAAGTTTGAAGATCCCTTTTTGGTTTCGTGTGTGTGGTCCACCTTCAAATCTCGGGGTCGAGATTCTTGTAAGGGGGGTGGATCTGTAACGCTCCGCTTTTCGTGAGTCGTTAAAAATTAATTCGGCAAAATCCTAATTGCGAAAATTTTCGTTCTTTGTGTGCGAGTCTAAGTTGTGCCAAGATCTCAATTCAAATCCGTCCTTGATCCCTCTCGTCACCATCAAAAATTGCCCCCTCGAAATTCCTCTTCCGACTCAAGTCTCCAAATCAAACTCTGAAATTCTATCCCTCTCTTTGAATCATCGCCAAATACTTCCCCAGATCCAAAATATCCAAAACCCCGTCTTGAATCCTCCGTCTACTCCTTCCTCTCATCGAGATCCCAATTCCAAAATCTAAGTCAAATTCCAAGTTCAAATTCTCTTCGAATCAAACTCCTCCAAAAAAGTCTATTTTGCCTCCCTCGGATTTTTGTGGGCCCTTTTCTCCTCGGCCCATCTCCTCTCAGCCGCTCCTCCTCCTCCCCCTCGCACGTGCGTTGCGCGTGTGCCGCGCTCGAGAGAGGGAGCGCCCACTCTCTTCTCATCCTCTCTCTCTCTCTCTCCGTTTCTCCCTCTCTCCCGTAGAAGCTCCCCCACCGGCGCCGATTTCCCGCCGCCGCCGTTCGAAATCCGGCCGCGCCCTCGCATCCGCGCGCGCGCGCTCGTGCGTGGCCGACCGCCCGGTTGCCGCCGCGTCAGCCCTGACGCCGCCTGTCCCCGCGCCTGCGCCGCGCAGCCGCCCGGCCCCGCTCGCCTTTAGCCGTCATCGCCGCTGTCATCGCTCGGCCCC